AAACTTTTATTTATTATTACTTTTTTCAGTTTCTAGTTGTTTGAGGGACTGTTGTGAGTTTTTCCTTTTCTTTAATGGACGGGGATGAATACATCTGAGGACGACTGATGTATGTTTGTTTGTTTGTTTTTAATTGATCCTGTCATACTTCTGGTTGATCAGTTATCTATGAGGCACTTTGAGCTGCTCTAAGCTGAATGAAAGGTTCTGATGCTGTCACCACCTGCAAGACATTAAAAACGATCCTCATATTCAAACTGTGTGGATCGACTGAGCTGAAATACTTCTGCTGTTCTGCATGGTGTGTGTGTGTGTGTGTGTGTGTGTGTGTGAGTGTGCTTCATGTTTATGTCACTGCCTTCTGACACCACTCTTGGATCAGCTGTGCATCTTTCTACAGCTGTATTGTATTTACTTCTTTGTCTGAAACTCTGAATCATTAACAGTTAAATAATTCTTGTGTGTTCAGTTCAAAGTGGGATGAAACCCTGGAACCACACACAGCCGGCGCTCTGCCGTCTGTTTCTGAGCTTCTTCCTGGGACGAGCGTGCAGAGCTGCTGCTCATTTATAGTGAAGGCAGGTGTGCACGATTAGCTTCCTGATTAGCGGTGAGTCAGAGCTGTGTGCAAGCAAAGCTCACGCTTCTCACAGGGGGCAGCAGAGCAGAACAGCATCAGGTGAAACAAATTCTGTTAATCGCCCATTTCCATGAAGTTTCCCAGCAAAGCCATCAGTGCCAGCAGGAGTTTGGAACATCAGCTGGCCTGAAATGGGAGCTGCTGTTTATTTAATCAGTCACATCTGTGCTTTTCCTGTTACGTCGAGTCCAAATGTCTGCTGTGAAGAAGATCAGTTGCTCTGTTGTAATTACATTCATTCATGTCTGCACGTTGAGAGAAGGTCATTCCAGCTTTAACAGAGGAGTCCTACAGTAGCACATGTCCATCTGAATGCTGTGAAGCTGCTTCTTCAGCAACTCTCAGGCTGTCCGTTGCCAACCAGTGACTTGAAATGAAAGCGTGATAGTTCTGGTCCCTGCAGAAATGCTGAGGTGTTTTCAGAGCCCCCTCTGATAGCAGCTCATTATGTCTAATTGACTTGTAGTGAGAT